TTAGAGAAAGCCCAGGGAGAATATGGAATGACTATTCTTAAGTCTTTTTTTTTTTATGATTCAGAAATCAATTCATTGGCCATGGGTTTTGTTGATTTGGGTCCTCAAATTCTGTGTGGACAGTTTCCTGACTACCGCCAGGGAGTAAAATAGTTTGGACTCATTTCCTGCTGAATAATGGGATTCTGGATATGTTTCCAAGTTGTATGCTTAGCTTTGGTTTAACACTGACAGCATTTACTCATTCAACCCTCCTTAATTCACAATAACGTATATTGGAATTTCTATCAATCTCATATTAATAGGTCAGATTCAAGGGAATGGTTACACATATGGTATTGCCTCTGCCAGCCAAGAATAACACGATTTCCCAATGGATTTGAGTCTTTTTAGCTATCCTAGGATATACTTTCTGTTATTAAGATTTTAGGTATTCTCCAGTTAAATCTATCACTATTTTTCAGGTATTTTTTTATTGATTCAATAATTGAGGGGTTATTTTTCTATAATTTTCACTTTGTTATAGAATAAATAAATGTAGGTACAAATATTGAAAGTAGTTTATACCATTTGTATGACACATTTTCTTATTTTTTGAGAATTTCACTCACTGGCATTTTCAAGACAGTGTTCAATAGAAATGGTGTGAGCGGTTAAATTCCCAGGTGAGTTTTTGTAAATACTTCTCATTTTGTCAGAATAATGGATATTCTGTTGGTGGTTGGGGCACCATATACTTTCATTACATTAAGTTCTTCTTGACTAGTTTTAACAATTTTAATGAAAGAGATGAGGGGGTTTCCCCCCACCATGTGCTTTATTTTGTAGCTATTGGTAACTCGCATGTGAGTTATCCATCAAAGGGATAGATGGCTATTGATTCATTGCTCTATTCTCTTCCCCACCCAACAATTTTATTGACAAGTAATATACATATCATCTAATTCAATAGTTCAGTCATTCAATTATATCAAAGATTTAACACACATGGTTAAATCACCTTTAAGATGACTTATGTAATCACATTCCATTCTAGTGCTCCCTCCCCCTCCGTTTTCATTATTTATTCCCCAAATCCCCTTTTCCTCCCTATCATCCACCCCTCGCCCCTGTGTTCCCTATATCCCCTTGTATTATCATTATGCATCCACTCCTTCTGTGCTTCTCAGCCAGAAGACCCAACAGAAAACAATAAAAAATAAAATGCGCTAAGGTGGTAAGGAGGAAAACAATAATAGTACACAGACAAAAGTACAACTAATGTGTAAGAAGGAAAAGACCCCCAATAATGTTAAAAACTCCAGGAAAGAAGTTTCTGTCATGGAACCAGTAAGAGATACTTGCACCCAGTACAAATTCGGGTCACATCTACCAGTGGGCCAACTATCCAGTAAGAGATGAGCTTTCATGAATGTATTTTATTCCTGATGTGAGATGCTTGGATTCTTTAGTTACAACTGCATAATTACGGTTTTGGTGTCTGTAGTATGTGTCTGATCTGTAAAACTGGAATAATAATTGTTATTACCTAAAGACATTGCGATTAGGAACAAAAAGGTTTATATAATCGCTATGAATAACATTTGAGTATTTTTCAATTTTGGAACGATCTCTTCTTGTTCGTCATAAATAAGATTGCGTTTAATCAATTACTCAATTGATTTTTCTTTACAGGTACCATCACTGAGTAGACTTCTGACACTGGGGACAGCAATGAATCCTACAAAACAAGCTCAAAATATGAACCTTAAACTACCGATGGTCCAGTCTATCCCCAAATTACCCCAATAAAGTAGTTTTCAATGGCCATTCATTTCCCAAGCCTTCAGATTATTCATATTCTTCTACAGTTATGCTAGCACAATCACCTCTCATGGAATATAACACAAGCCCTTACCTGATCCCACTGACTCTTTTTCAATCTATGCACCCACGCCAGGTAGAATGTTAAAATATAATATGATAATGTTACTTCCTGGTTTAAAAATCTTCCAAAATCTTTTCAGTGGACTTAGGACAAAGTTCAATTTCCATTTTATGGTCTTCAGGATCCTATGATTTGGCCATGGCAGCCTACTAATGCTTCCTTGACCACTCTAACCTTGGCTCACAGCGGTTCAGGTCCTCTGTCTTCACCACGAAGTTCATACTGCCTCAGGGTTATACATGTTCACTTCCTTCTACTAGCACGGCCCAACACCCTAATACTACCTATTAACCAGTAAATAGTTTTCAAGCTTATTTTTCATCATCATAGAGATCTCAGTTGAAATACCTATCTTCTCTAAGAGACTTGCTTGGATCACCTGCCCGAAGAATGTCTTTGGTTTTCATCAGCCTCTGCCACTAGAATCTAAGCTCCCTGTGGCCAAGATGTTTTCTTGCTTCTGACTCATTGTGACCCTGAAAGGTTGAATAGCATGTCTACCTAGGGTTTCCATGGCTAAAAATATTTATGGGAGCCAAAAGCCTCCCTTTTCTATCAGGGAATATCTGGTATACTTTAACTATGGACCTTGCAGTAAGTAGCCCAATGGGCAACCAACTACGTCACCAGAGCTCCTTTTTGTCCCCTCCATTGCCTCAAATAGTAACCCACCGCCATTGAGTCCAATGTTAGACAGAGGTGAATGTAGCTGTAAGAAGGCAACTTTGAAAAGGGGGCTCTAGGGAATGCTTCAGCAGCACACATAATAGAGGTGACTCTGAACCCAAAGCTAGGAAGCACTGAAAGCCAGATGGCTGGGATACTTCAAGCCCACGATCCTGTCACCACATTAGTTAGAGGATCCTTCTCCCTCTTGTTTTAATGGCGTCAGTCAATATTTCCCTCTCCTCCTTAGCATTTTTTAATCGGACATCCTGCCCAAACCAAGCCGGAAAATGACTTTATAATCCTCCCCACTTGATAGGAAGGCAACAACATGGTTTTCTCTTGCTGGCCCAGGATGACACATTCTAAATACAGTGAACCCTTGTTTATCGCAGTTAATCGGTTCTAGATCCTACCGTGATAAATGAAATTCCGCGAAGTAGGATTCCTTATTTGTAAATCAAATATTTTCGTAGTTAGAGCATAGAGGACATGAAAAAACACCCTTTAGTCACCATTACACTCGTATTACCCAATTTATTAAACGAAAAAGGGAAAATACAGTAAAACATTTTGGACGTTACAATGATCATTTCTTATTTATTATATTATTTATGGCATCAAGCGTGTACAGTATGAGCCAATCAGTGGCAGTCATGACAGAGCATGCGGTGTTCCGCCAAAACCGCGACAGAGTGAAGCCGCGGAAGTCGAAGCGCGAAGTGGCGAGGGTTCACTGTACACATTTCCAGAGTTCCAGGATTTCTTTCCACGACAGCCTCCCATCCCACCCCCACCCCCCAGAATCATATTCGGGTACACTGATTGACTTCAAGAGCTCAGCGTTAGATAATAAGCCTTTTATTTTCCTGTAAAGCTCCAAGCAGATTATTCCGTATTACCATTGAGGAGACAATGGACACAAAATCAATTCCGATGAAACAGTGGCGCAATCCAGCAGGCGTACAAGGGGGAATCGGTGCGGGAAAACAAGTAACAACTCGACATCTGGACCTAATGCATCAAGAGGCGTTCTCCAGCGGAGGCGATTGGCTGCTCTTTGGCCCAATCCTGGACGTCTGCTTGACCAAAGTTGAGATACAAGGCTAAGCCAAAGATGTTAATAGCAGCCGAAAGCAAGAAGATATTTCTCCAGCCCAACTCTGAATCCTGGAGGCAGAAAACAATAAGCCATCACTTGTCAGTCAGTTCTTTTCTGTCATGGATCAGGAAGGCTCACCTTCCTCTAATTCTGTGCCAGCTCCACGGGCTGTTCCTGGATAGACCAGGTACATTTCTGCTGAAAGACTACTGCACTGTTCATTTCTTTCTCTGATGGAACACTCTTCACCAGGTAGCCATTACGTTCACACCTCTTTTAGGCCCTTGCTTAAGTGTTACCTTTTTTTTTAATTAATCATTTTATTGGGAGATCCTACAGATATTATAACCATCCATAATTCAGTTATATCGAGCATAATTTTACAATCGCTACCACCAGCGGTTTCACAATCATTTTCTTTCTTCTTGAACTCTTTGATATCGGCTCCCTTTGTCCCCTCCCTCCTCCCCCTCCCCCCCAGGAACCATTTATTGTTATATTATATATTATTTGCCATATCTTACACAATCCCATGGAACCCTTCACCTGCAATTCTGTTATTTGTTCCCCTCAAGTAGAGTGATACAGTCGTCTTTGCTATCAGCTCCCCCTTCCCCTTCTCCCCCTTCCTCTCTTCCCGTATCCTTAGGGAATTATTACTCCCATTACAGTTTCCAAATGGTTATCTATCTTGGCTTTAATGCATTGAACACTCTTAACTGCACAAATGAATATATAGGTCTTCTTGATTACTCTATTTAAAGTCAAAACTTCACTCACCTCTTATGTACCCTATTCCCAAATTTCCAAATTTATGCTCTTAGCACTTGCCACCACCCAACATCCCCCAAAATGCATATATATATTCTTTCCTACAACCGAAGTTTCATCAGGGCAATAACTTTGTTGTATTTCCTTAGGTAGCATTTAGCTGGTCCATACTAAAGATTAATACATGCTGAATGGATGAATAATGGGAGACAAGGGAAGTTTGAGAATTTGTATATTAGAGAACCATCTCCTAACAGCCTGTTAGTCAATGTTTGGAAGGAAGTGAAGCTTCAGGATGAAAGAGGGGAGGAAAGGAGGGGAAGAGGAGAAGGAGGGATATGATGTGATAATGACAATCCTTTCTTTGCAAAAACCCATTCATTTTTCTCACTCACTGTGGAAAGCCATAGGAGTCTAAAGAAAAAGACATTCCCATGAGTGTCACAGGCATAATCCTTTTTGTCAAGTCAATAAGAGTAAGGTTCTCTAGACCAACTGAAAGGCTCGATGTGAATTTTTTTATTTTAACAATTTTCTATAGTCTTATAACCAAGGTATCTCAGAAGAAAGATCTGGTCATCTAAATCTGAAAAATAAAGACACTGAAAATCCGATGGGGCCCAGTTCTACTCTGATACATTTAAAGGCTCCTTGAATCAGAAGAGACTCTACAGCAGTGATTTTACTTGGTTGAATGGAAGCATTTAGCATGGAAGGCTCTATAAATGTAAGAACACCATGTAAGCGATACTGAGCAAACAACTTTTTGCCTTAAGTATTTATGAGCATAAATGTGAAGTTTGTTTGTTTTTTTACTTTTTCATTCACTAAGCATCTCACTCACTAAGCATCTATCAATATTTGTTGGGTTTCAAGCTGTCCCGTTTTGCCCAAGATCTTCAAAGAAGTAACACTGATAAGCCGGCATCTCAGGAAGCCCCTCAGTTCTGTACAAGCCAGCCAGCATGATAGCTCACCTTTCTTAAAGGCCAAGAATGTTGCTAGAAAAGTTGAGGCTTATGTATTAAGGATTCAGGGGGAAAACCTCATCTAATTCTTTGTAGAAGAGTGCTCACGCCTTGTCGCTCTACACCTTCAGCATAGGGTTGTTTCCCCGCCTGAACAGAGCCTAAGATGAGAATGAGAACATTCCCTGAGTCTCTTCAGTTGTGAGCTCACCACACTGAGGAAGGAACAAAAATTACTCCTCCTTTAACACCCCCTGGTGTATAGAGATCCCATTTATACGCTTTGAGTTTTTCTTAGGAATGTTTTCCATAAGACATGACCTCACCTGACCGATAAAATATCCGGTAGTGGTGGGAGAGAGAGCTCCGGCGGTGAGTACAAAGATTTCTGATAGGCCCTTGAGAAAGGCAGCATATCTGTGGGAGAGAGAACAATACAGAAACATTCTAGTCTACGCCAGGTTCATCTAGATTTGCCTGTTGCAACTCTGAGGATGCTAAGAATTGTGCTAACACGTGAACAAGCCTGAATAAAATAGAGTGAGCAGTGTTTCGTGTAATTCAGTCTTAGGCTCGAGATTGTTGCTAGAAAATGAACAGATTCACAATTTGTACCTGGTGTGTCTGTTCTGCTGGCTTCTACTATTGCTCCTGATCTTGCACCTTGTTTGGGGTACAGCTATGCTTTGTGGGATGGACCAATGCTCCCCTGAGATGGTGTCTCTCAAGTGTCTCAATGGTATCCTAGCTGAAGATGAAGCATGTTCTATGTTACTGTGAAAAGACTTTGAGAGGGGTGCATAGAAATCTCAGTCACCTCTGATCATTTACTGCCTTTACGGCCTATTTCCTACTCGGCCATAATCTTTACCTTATTCAAGTCTTACATCAGGAGCCTCCTCTGTGGAATCTCATACACTATCAATTGACCAGATGGCAGTGAGCTTGAGCAATTGCTACACCCCACACGCAGAAACGTATGGGAGTCTCCCTCAGTTGTGTTGTGAACTTGGCATGGTGATGTCAGGTGTCACCCAACGCCCTTGTTTTCACCTAGAGCAACTACGTTTGTGATGGTTAGCCAGCTGTAGGTCCCCTTCGAACGTTGTATGGGTGTAAGGGTGGTGCTGACGTTTCCTGTGACCTGGTGCACATTGCATCTTGTGTGTGTCCGAGCAGGTTTCTCAGGACCGCTCGAAGGACCTTCAGTGAGCAAAGGTTTTCCTACCGAGGTGCAATATCCAAGATGTTGACAAAGACTCCCGAGTCACTTAAGCTGCCGAAGGCAGGGTACAGTATCAAGAAGGCCACGGAGACGCTGGTGTTGGCTCTGACCCAGTACAGGGACACCATCAGCAGGGATGAGGTGAGAACTCCTGTGGGAGGGGAGGGGCGGACAGACAGAGAGTGAACAGGGTGCGTCTCTGGGCATTCCACATGCACCGCTGTAAAAGGTTTCCTCCTTACCTATGGCCGTTAAGAGTTTCCTTATAGTAACGAGGCTGAAAATTGTTCTGGAGAGGAGAAAGTCTGCCAAGAACCCTCCCAGGATAACGCAGATACAGCCGGTTACAAAAGGCAGGGCAGATAGGACTCCACTCTGAGGACCAGACAGAAGGGAGGTACGGATCTCCGTCAGCCACCCCACCATGACCCACACCGATGATGGCTCACTTCTAGGACATTTCTGTATGTACTTAGCACGATGCATAGAAACTCACTAATATGTCACGTGGCCCATGTAATGACTACGGGGAAACATGTATATGACTGGATTTGAAGAAAAGCGCTAATACTTATTCATATATAAAAATCATCAATAATTAGATATGAGAAAGGTCAAGACCGAGTAGAAAAGCAAGAAAGTTATAAAGTATTTCACAGAAAACAAACACTAAAACAAAACTCCACTACTCCTGACTGAATTCTGACTCATGGAGACCCTATTAAACAGAGAGCTAACCCACGGGATTTTCCACACCTGACATGTTTCTGGAAGCAGACTAACCCGTCTTTCTCCCACGGAGTGGTTGGTTGCAAGACAACTCTTGATTGTCAACCAAATGCTTTAACTAATGCACCACGAGGGCATCTGAAAAAATATTACTGGTTACTAAATATGAGGGGGCTTCAAGAAGCTCGTGAAAAGTAAAGTAGAAAGATAATGGAATTGTTCTACAAGTGTTTCGAAGTCCCCTAACATATTAAAATGTACTCTCAACGTCATGGATAGTAACAAAAGTGAAAAATAAAACTATGTTGAATATCATCTTTCATGGAGCAAACTGGCAAAGATGTGAGATATTTTGGCCTGTGGTGTAAGGCCACCATTGTGTGGAGCCAGGGACTCTCGATAATTATTAACATCTTGTGGAACGTGCTCTGTATCCCATATCCTCAAAATATATATGGCAGCTATTACCCCTGTAACTGTAAATATGACTGTTTGGAAAAAGGACATTGTTGGTTATGCTAATGAGATTGTACCCATTATTGTGCGTCCAAAATATAATTCCTTCTGAGTGATGTCTTATAAAATGGGTAACCAGACAGAGACACAAACACACAGCACAGACATATAAAATGTGAGGATCCAGACAGGACAGGGCATGAAATCCAAGGAGCGTCCAGGACACCAGGGAAGGAACGATCCGTCCATACTGAGCAAAATTTGGATTTTTGGCCTCCCAAACTGGGAATCCTATAAGTCACTTAACTAGTTTATCTGTTTTAAACTCTTTACAGTGAATTCGGTGAGGGCTTTCAGAGCAGATCAGAGTTTTACACTTAAAAATTCATATACATTTCATATACATTCTGACTCAATTCATCTATTCAAATCCCCTCAAAGGGCCATCAATTAACCCACTTCCTATGTTCCCTGTCTCCATTCCTACTTCTCTCTTAACCCTCTGAATTTTGTCCTTGGGCACATGCTGTCCTTTTGTTCTTAAATGGTTAACTATTCTAATGCAGAGGTGAGTTTAACTCAAGACCTGAAGGGTAAGAGCCATAGTTGTGAGAGTCCCCCCCTTCTTTACCCAACCAGTAAAGGCAAGTCTTCTATGCCAAGTCAATTGTATAATGTCCCATGCTTGTGGTGTTTTCATAATGGCAGCATTATGTAACAACTTGAGCATATGTAAATATTGTATGCAGGGGGAAAAATTATTAAAATTTCTTAAGCATAACCAAATACTTGAGTTGCTGGGCTTGGGGGATCAGGACCATAGTCTCAGGAGACACTAAGATCAATTGTCCACAAGGACATTGTTCTACATCCTACTACAGTGAGTAGCAACTGGGGTTTTTTAAGCTCGTGAGGTTCAATCTTAGTCTCTCACCATCCGGAGGAAGGAAGTGTAATGGAAATAAAAAGATATCTGGAAACAATTAGTCGGATGGACTAATGGACCACACAAACATCAGTCTCCACAACCCGAGACCAGAAAATCTGGGGGATGCCTGACTACCACAATCAAAGCTTTGAGGGGATCCCATTAGAAGGCAATGTGGGAGCAAAAGGTGAAACAAAACTCACATTCAAAAAACAGGCCAACCACACTGGTCAGATAGAGGCAGGTGGAGCCCTTAAGATTATGTTCAGTAATAGAGGAAAGAAGTAGGAGACAAAGGGCATTTATAGAAGTCTAAATAAAGGCATGTACATATGTAAACATATTTAAATGTGATGATGGGGAAATAGATCTATGTGCATATATATATATATATACATACATACATACATACATATATAGGCTTAGTATTAAGGTAGCAGATGGACATTGGGCCTCTGCTCAAGTACTCCCTCAATGCAAGAATACTTTGTTCTATTAAACTGGCATTCCATGATGCTCACCTTCCCGACACGATTGCTGAAAACAAAG